TTCAGAGGGCTAACACTTCTCGCTGTTTAGATTTGCGCATCTGCATTTCCCCCATTTCTCCAAATGGCAGTTCCCCGATCCTCCCTGACATTGTAGCACTCACTATGTTCGAATCAGTTACCTTAAATGCAGTACTTCAGACCAGTATGGGAGGGGCTCATTCCCCCTGGAATCATACCAACTGTACAGGAATATGATCAAAATAAAACTCTCTATCAGCAACTGGGGTCTTTGGCTTCTAAATGCAACTCAAAGCATTCATGCTCTGTGGAGTTTTCTCTTTCTGTACACGGAGTCACACGACGGCCCACATGGACGCCACCAAGCGATTCGCAGGTGTGCGAAACAGCAGGAACTGCTGCGCGGGCACAGCTGCAGCCGCAAAGCTCAGTGGCCAACCTCTGGCCCTCTCCTTTGAGCATCTCAGTTAAGACTCGCTCACCGAGTTCATCGTCATGGAAAACTTCTTAATGGCAAAGTATCAAAGAAGCAAGTTGGTGTTTTCGCTTCTGGCCCTAGTATTTGAGAGGTGAAATACTGATTAAGATCTTGGGTTAGGTTTTCAAAAATATCTATTACGTGGGAAGAATTCACCATAAAATTAGCTTAATAGCAAAATTAACATTCTCCATCTGTTAAAAAATATACACGAGTACTTTGAAAATATTCTGCCTTTTCGAGAAATACCTATTTTGAGAATATGTTCTTTTACAATCGCCTTAGAGCTGAGTAGCCAAGGAGAGAGTGAGAGGGAGCCTTTTCATCACGTAATCTAACAAACTTTCTGAACTTTGAGCCATATAAATGTGTTACTTATTCAAAAATACAATACGATTTTATAAAGAAAAAACAAACGTGATTATTTGCTGTTAGGAAACAAATTTAAAGTGTCCTCAATAATAAAAGTTGGTAAGAGGAAGTTAATCACCTAGTTAGTTAATATACCATTCTCTCTAGTTTACCATTTATTAATTCAAACTGATAGTCCTTTTATTGTGTAAACATAGGGTTGGGAAGTGGTAATCTACCCTCCAAAAAAGAGGGTCTTTCTTCTCCAAGAAGACTTTTATTCTCCACTGCCTAAATCCCATTAACGCTAATCAGCACAGTGGTTCAGAGCTTTGCAGTGAAGTGCTCCAGTTGATAATGACTCCTTTAGAAGAAAACCTCCCACAGGTGAAGGCTATCATCAAACTCAGCTTTTCAGCCAGGACTTAGGGTCACAGATCCGCAAGTTAAGATTGTTTTAGTATTAATCTGGAGGCTTGCTTTTTTAACTTCACTAGACTTCATCCATTCAAAAGAGACTTATGAGAGTCTCACTGTAAGCCAGGAGCAGCCTCAGATGCTGAGGACAGGAGAGCAAGGAGAAACAAGAAATCAAAGATAAAATATGGTTCCTGCCTCCAAGAATCTCAGTCTGCCGCACAGAGCAGCCACTGAAAGAAATGACATTATAACAGTAATTCTGCTCCTAAAGCTATAACCAAGCCTTGCCCTCCTCAGGACCAGGACTGGTCAGTTTCTAGTCTAGTTTCACTTTCCCATCTTCAAGCTGCATCACAGCTGGGTTCCCAGCTGGCTGGGGAAGAACAGATTCTTTAAATAAACGGCATTTTAAAAATATGCATTCGCTTTTGCTTTACTGAATTGTGTGAGCCACCTTCCTCTAATACGTGAATCTAGGTGCCAAAATGAATTAAAATCGACCCCAAAGAATGTGAAATCCTCCAGGAATACACCTTTTCCGTCTTCAACAACGAAGTACACTATGCCTTGGAAGAAAACTTCAAATCAGAAAGTCTCCCAAAAAGAATGATCTTTTTTTTAATGCTATCTACTATGTCTATTCGATAAGAGAACAGCTTAAAATCATATATATAGGAAAGCAACAAGTTATAGTGTGGTTATACCAAAAATATATGCAACCATTGTTAAAAATGCAGGGCTATTTGCAGAACAGAGTGCTTGTATAGCACTGTGCAAAGCTGCGAATCTCTGAGCGTGTTTTCGAACTATTCTTCCTCTCATTTTCCACAGAAGACACAGAGAACCCCTCCAAGTATTCAATCTTCTTCAAAGTACGAAGATTTTACTCAACCCTTTCTCACCAGCAGTAGTCATTTTGGATGAACAATACACATTAGATCCGTAAAAATGCCCCTCTGGCAGGCAGTGCCGTTCCAGGACTTCACAGGCTTCAGGTCAACAACACTCCACAGTTGCAGTAAAATTAGCCATTTATGAGGACCTTTTAGAAGGGGTCCGGTCTGACCCCTGAATTAATGCTATCGAGGCATGCCAACTTTTAAGTGTAATATACCCTTCTATGTAGTACATTAGCCCAAAGTCCTGGTCCACCCCAAAACAGCTTTTTAGATCATCTCCCTAGGAACCACACCTTTCAGGACCCAGAGGCACTCAGAGCTGAAACTAGCTGAACAAAGTAACAATTCAACCACAGTTGCTCAACATAACGGCCATGATGACAGTTTCCAAGTGCCAGTTTCCCTGTTTTGCAAGGGCAAACCTGCTCCAAGGAAAAAATGTTCCCCGTGACCCTGTGGCCCAGCGGGTTTCTTTACTGATAGAAAACACAAAATGAATTTGTTAGTTATTTCCTGCTGAGCACAAGGAAAGTGTTGTGGTTAGTTAGGATGACTTTGTTTCCTTATTTAATATACCATTACCAGTCCATGTTTTCTTTAACTACATGTTAAAAAATAAGAAAATGCAGTTTATGTTCTTGTTATATTATCGCCAGTTCCACAAGTTTCTTCTCACAAACACGTCCTTAAATTCCTGCTCCCCTTATGTAATCCCCCCAAACTGACATGTACCTACTTACCATCAATTCAAAGCAAATATTTTTGCATTCTAAGATGTTTACTTCCATACTATTCCTTCTCCTTAATAATGTGTGGAGTGTGAGGATCTTTTCTTGAGTAGTGACAGCAGTCCTAAATTTATCTTTTTGAGAGATATACTACATATGCTACTTTAATCCTATGAGATGACCATAACCTAAAAGCAGACTATGCATCAGACCCTCAGCTCTGTCATAATCTCCACACTCAACTAGTAAACTCTTAAATGCTCACTAAAACAAACAAGGTGTTTTTGACAGGGGAGCAGGGCTGCAGAGAAGGCAGTTACTCCATGGGGCTGTCTGACAATGACTGTGGGTCTCAGCGGACAGCACTGGCAACATGCTCTCTGCATATTCAGAAGCAACTCACCGAAATCTAAAACAGAAGCTGTCCTTGGACAAGGTTCAGTGAATGTTTTCACTATTTCCCCCTGCACAATACAGTTCCACAGCTCCCTGAAGCAGCTCAGAGAAAATACTTAGCAGAATAAAAAAATTAGAAATGCTTTACTGGTCTCAACTTGTCATCATAAAACATTTCAGAACATAAAACTAGCATTAAAGAGCAGCCAACAGTATTCCACAGAACAGTGTCAGGGAGAGAACTGCTGTTATCACCAACTGTTTGTCCCTTCTCATTAAGCCACTGCAAGCTTCTTTTCACTGAAGTGATACAGTTGAATTTAATGACTAGCTATACTTGCATCACTAAACTAAAATTTGTCTTTTGAAGGACGGGGTGGGAGTGGTGGGAGTGGAAGGGGCAAGGGGACAAACTTCCAAAAGCCAAAGGCATTGATCTAGGATGATGAAGGCAGCAGAACTTCCTTGAGCTGTTGTTCCACATTCTTCGACACTGAACTCAAAGCTTCATTATGCTACCCAGAATCAGCAAACTGGGTAAACAATTTCCATGACAGTTCAGGACACCTACCACAATTCAGGGACTATACAGCTCAGAGTCACACCACAGGCACCAAATTCAGCCTTAGTTGGGACAAAATGAAACCCCAATATGAATAAGCATTAAGACAAGCTAACACCAAATACTCCAGTATGGGACAATTTGGTTTAAAATACCTTCCTAAGAAGTAAGTACGGTAAAAATAAATAAGTAAAATCTTAAAAAAAAAAAAGTAGTAAGTACTGGATTCAGGGACAAGAAGAAAAAGCTCTTCGACTGACATTTCTTTGACTTGTGACACGGAGACCTGCATCCCAGCTGCACAGATCTACAGATTTCAGTGTCTGTTTCCCATCGCCTGCTTTCCTGTGCAGCACCCAACATCGCGAAGACGAGAAATGCAGTCAACACACCCTGCCCGTGGGATGTCGGAGCTGAACTTACAGCGTTCGTCAGAAGTTACTCTATTTCATCATTATCACCATTAACAGACCGGTAAAACCTCCCAGAAACAGCCCAAAGTAGTGTCTGTTCGCTAGTCCTCGAGGTTAAGGGAAGGTTGTGCTACCCGCTGCGCAGGCAATCACGACTGAGAAAATAACGGAGAAAAAAAAAAAACAACCCCCAAAACCTAAGCCACATGGAGGTCAGAAAACAGTAGCAGAAAAAGTCCAACTCTGCCTGCGCCAGTGGGGTGGATGAGCAGAGCCCGGAGCCCAGGAGAGGAAGGAGCGGGCGGGGGCCATCATTCCCTAGGAGAACTTGTAAGCGGAGGCCTTCAGAGCCTGGGAGTCTGCCCAGATGCTCCTGCAGACCCTGCCAGGCTGGGCAAGGCAGGCCCGTGGGAGCAGAGCGGGCAAGGCCTTCAAGGGTCATTCCTGATTCACTGAGCACCACCCCGACCTCTCCTTTTTTCCTGACTCTGCTGGGCTATGATGGCAGCTTTCCAGCTCCACATGCCATACATCAGCCGCAGATCCCCGCTGGCACAGGCCAGCGCCTCCCCCGGCCCTTCCCCACCCCTGGCACACTTTGAGCGTGATCCTCCTTCTCCCCAACCTCAACCCCCTCACCCACCCTTCCCAGGCGCCCGGGCCGGAGGCGGCCCCACCCCCAGTGACCGGGCGCTGCCAGGCCTGGGCACCTGCAGCACCTCTTCGCCCCACCCCCACTCTCCACCAGCTCGCCCCTCCCCCCTTTCTCCAGCAGAGAGAGGGGGCGACTCACCGCAGTCAGTGCACAGGATCTTGCCCACCTCTTTCTTGAGGTTTTTGCCGTTGGTGTCGAGGGGAGCAAAGGCCGTCTTAAAGACTAAGGGCTGCTCCGTGGGCTCCAGGAAAAAGATGTAGCGTTGGTTCCTTTCGAGCGGCGCACAGGAGCCCACGCTGATCACCTGCTCTCGCTGCAGCCCCCCGCTCCGGAGCGGCCACTTGTCCAGCACCTTCACCAGCGCCACTCGACCCGAGGCAGGCGGCTCACGGGTGCTATTGGAGCTGGATCCGCCAGCCGGGGCCAGCCCCTGTACCTTGCCCTCCACCACCACGGGTGCCTTGTACGCCTGGTCCTGCACGGACTTGAGGCTAGGCGAGTAGCAGGCAAGAGACACACCAAAGAGCAGCATAGAGAAGCCGGGGGCCGGGTCGCGCCTCATGCCGCCGGCGGCTGCGGCTCGGGAGCGGGCGGCGGCTCTCCGGGCTGCGGGGTTGCGGGGCTGCGGCTGTTGCGGCGGCCGCGGCTCTGGGGGCGCAGCGGGACTGGAGATGCTGCTGCTCCTGCTGCTGCTCTCGCGGCTGCTGCTGCTGCTGCTGCTGCTGCTGCTGCTGCTGCTGCTGCTGCTGCTGCTGCTGCTGCTGCTGCTGCTGCTGTCGGGGCTGCTCTTGCTGCTGCTGCTGCTGCTGCTGCTGTCTCTGTAGCTGCTGCACGGAGCCTTCTCCAGTGGCGGCGGCAGCGCTGAGCAGCAAACCTGCCGCATCTGGCCAGGCCATTTGGGGGGCTCCGCCGCTCCGCCGCCGCCGCCGCCGCCGCCTTGGGAGGGGAAACAGAGCCTGCTGGAAAACCGGAAACAGCGTAATGTTAGCGCCTCGTAGCCCTCCACCCGCAGCCCGGGGACGTGGCCCAGCTAGGGCAGGGGGCAGGCGGCAAGCGGGCCGCGATGCGCAGCGCGGAGCCGCGCAGCGCTCCCACCCAGCGCGCCAGGACCTGGAGGAGGATGCGGAGGATGGGACGCCCGCCCACTTCTCTCTCGCGCCCCCTCTACCTCCGGACCGAGTGAGGAGCGCGGCTTCTGCAGGGGAAGCTTGGGACTGCACTGCTTTAGAGCCTGGGTTCTGGGCCCGCAGGGCTACGGAAAGGATCGTGCTACCCTTTGCTCTTGGGATTTATCTGCGCGAGAGTGGAGTAGTGCATGAGGAGGGGGCGGAGTAGAGATAACGGATTCTGGTACCGTCCTATGAACGAGGGAGTGGGACACAGGGCGTGTCCCTGACTTTGGCCACCCGCCGTAGCTGCCAGGGAGATTGCCGCTGTCGCGCTGGCTGTCCAGTCTCCCGTTTCCGGGGTTGTCTCCTTCCCTAGAAGGACCCCAAAGGCTAGCCCCTAATCAGCCCACGTGTTCGGCCCTGCCACCTCCAGGTGAGTGCTGGAGATTCGAGTTGAGTGGAGGAGGATCCCAGCCCCGTCATTTGGTAAAGAGTTGGGGCTACATGAGGTCTTGTCTCGGCATTGAGGCCACTTAACCAAGGGGTGGTGGTTGGGAGAGGGTCCAGCCCCCCAAGATCTGGACTTTCTCCAGCCGCCGGAGGTGACCAGGCTGCAACCTCATCTTTTTAAAAGCCGCTCCCTAAGGAGGCGGGGGCTTCCTGGAGCCAACCTAAGAGCCAGAGCCTGTCAGGCCAGAGGCTGCTCTACAGGAAATGGTTTCTTTTTAAAAGTCTGGTACTTGCAAGAGGCAGGAGAGTTTGCTTAAACTGAAGCCAGTATCAGATTTTTAAAATAAAGTCCACCACCTATTCTATTCCTATCAATAAGGATCCAGGAAGTTTTCAATACCCAGCTTATCTGTTTGAAGAATGTGGAGCTCAGAAATTCCAGTGAGATTTTGGAGAATTCTACCCCTGACTGCCACCCACCCCACCCCACTCGGGGAGACTGGCCCCTGGGTACCTGACATAGACCAGGATTACTATTCGGGAAAGGAAGGAGGGAGCTACACCTTCCCTCCTGGCTAAGAGACCCCTCCGACTTAACATACCCAAAGCCAGTGGCATTGTCTTTCCCACCCCCGTCCAGATTCCCTGTAATTATTAAAGGCACCGTTTTACACTTGGCAATCCTATCTATTCCGATCAATTCTTTAGCCTCATCCTCTTTTCCCTCATCTAATCAATCACCAAATTCTTTGTCTCTACATTTTAAGATATCTCCAATTCATCTAGCTGCTCTCCAACTCTGCCATGAGTACCGTAGGTCTGAGCGCTCATCCTCTCTCCCTTGGACTACTGCAGAGCCTCTAAATGGGTTTCTATACCTCACCTCATCACCCTCCTCCATCATGCACTGCCAGCATGATCTTTCTAAAAATAAAACATAAATAAAATCTGCCAGTGCCATTGCTCTCAGGAGTAAAGTCCAAGCTCTTCAGCATGACTCTTCATGGGCTCCCTTGACCTAACTAGCTCTACACTCTGGGAGCCAACCTCCTACCCTAGCATTCCTCAGAGTACTGTGCTATTTCCTGGTGTGCTTCTGCCCATCACGTCTCTTATGTCCAGGAAGTCTCATCACTGCCTTGTTCACCTAGAAAACCATTCTTTCCCCAAGGCCCGGCACAGTATTTTACCTCACCCCTCCCTTCTATCCCCATACACATACATGACGGAAGGAATCCTTCCTCTTCTGTGTTACCATGTGCCTCACACATATTACTGCACTGACCTACACTGTACTTCAAGCAACTGTTAACGGGAGCTGCTGTTAACAGGAGCTGCATTACACCCATCAGACCAGTCATCTTTTATTATTATTTTTTTTAATGCTTTTAGAAAGAGGAAGGGGAAGGGAGAGAGAGAAGCACCGATTTGTCATTTGATCTATTTATGCATTCATTCTTGTATGTGTCCTGACTGGGGATAGAATCTACAACCTTGGAGTATCAGAATGATGCTTTAACCAGCTTAGCTACCCAACCCAGGCTCAGACCAGTCATCTTAATGAGAGGGACTATGTCCTGTTAGTCTTTGTATCCATCCCCAGTGAAACAATCAACATGGTTCCTGGCTTAAAAGGAAAAGCACATCTTTAGCGAACTGAAAATCAACTCTCTTAAACGCACAATCCATCTTGTTGGTCCCTTCATTGTCCCTCTTTTCATTTCACGGATCACAGATCTTGTACATCACAGAACAACGTTATAAAGATAACTAACTCCATCCTCTCATTTTTTAGTGGAAAAAAAAATCAGTCCCAGGGAGAAAAAGGGACTTACTCAAGGTCACACACAACCAAGACTCTATTCAGTCTTCTGTTTCTGAGATCAAAGTGGTGGGGAAGATCTGGTGCTCTGGGGCCAAGCAGAGCTGGGCTTCAATCCAATTTTTTAACTTACTGACTTTGGGATGAGTCTGTTTCACTCTCTAGGCCTTAGTTTTCTCACCCATATAATGGAGGTAGTAAGAGAGTCTACCAAATAAAGTTGGGTTTTCGTTCATTCTGTGTGTTGTCAATAAATATACAATCAAATGGCTCCTCTGTGAAAAGCACCAAGGCACAGTACTGGTCACTGGGTGGACTGCAGGGACCCAAACTGCGGCTGTCTCTGCCCTCAAAGCTCCTACTCTAGTAGAGAAGACAGCAGTTAATAAGTAAGTAAGTAAGTGAATAGGTAACTAAATTACTTAGAGTAATACATGTCCTGAGGGAAATAAACAGGATGCAATGATAGGGAATAATGGAAAAGGGAGAAGGTAGATCTACATGAATAAAGGGAGGCTTCTCTGAGGAGATAACATTTAAACTGAGACTAGAAGGATTTGAAAGATGTAGATTATGTGAGGTAAGTATAAAGTGCTTAGAACACTGCCTGATGCAGAGTAAGGGCCAAAATTAATGTTTAATAGTATTGATATTTTACTTATACCAGTGGTTTCCAATTTAAGAGCTGAGAATGTCTTAGTAGTGTGTAGTTACTGCACACTAGGATTTTCTGTATATTTAAAAATTCAGTGCAACTTTTCAATTGTAGATGCCACTAGGAAGAATAAAACTACATATTCTCTTTTTTTTCCACATATCCATTTTAAAGCATAACAAGACACTATCTAGTGTGAAGAAGACTGAATCAAGGTGAAGAAGAGTGGCAAGATATGGTAGCATTTTTTTTTTAAGATAAATATATAGCCCTCATTGGTGTGGCTCAGTTGGTTGGGCATTATCCTGCAAAGCAAAAGGTCACTGATTTGATTCCCGGTCAGGGCTCATGCCTGGGTTGTAGGTTCAGTCCCTGGTCACGGCATATAGAGAAGTAACTGAATGATGTTTCTTGCTCTCATTGATGTTTATCTCTCTCTCTCTTCCTCTCTCATTGTCCCTCTCTCTAAGAAAATAAATAAATTTTAGAAGATAAATATATAAATATTTGCAGCGCATAGAGCATAGAATACCTATGAAAAGAAATAGTACAAATTAGAACAATAGTTGACCCTGGAAAGGGCACTGTGTGACTGAAGAATGGAGCACAAGAGGGATATTTTTTATGGTATTCCCTGTTGTACCTAGTGAATTTATATCAAGTTTATATACTGCCTACTAAAAAAAAAATGTTAAGAGGGGACCCTCTAAATCGGGTGTCAAACTCATTTTCACCAGGGGCCACATCAGCCTCGTGGTTACCGTCAAAGGGCCAAAATAATTTTAAGATTGTATGAATGTAACTACTCCTTAACTGTTAAGAAGTTCAAATTACACTTATTTCTTTGAAGACAACCACGAGGTTGATGTGGCCCCTAGTGAAAATGAGTTTGACACCCCTGCTCTAAATTTTTATTGTTGCTTAATTTTTATCCTGTATTTTCTCAATCAAAAGCTCCTTAAAGTAGAACTATTGTTATACAAGATTCCTTGATTTTTTTTTAACCTCTAAATGGGATTCCTATGATTAAAAGGGAATTAAGCATAGGAATTACTTTGGGAATTACTTTGCTATAATTTTATGTTTTTTAGCATGCAAAAGGTAACTTTTCAGACCCCAAGTCTAGAACTCCTGCAGCCACAGAAGGTGAGGCTTAGGCAGAGACTTCTGAAGGGGAGAAAGGTATCTGTCCAGTTTTCCTCAAGGTGTGATATATATGAGGACAAGCTTCCAGAATTAGCCTCAGTCATTTAGTGTAAAATAGCAAGATATTTGGTTTCCTAGCCCAGACTAACTCTATATTGACTGTTTCCTGGGGATAAACCTGAATTAACAGGCATTTCTTAGACAGTAAAACTTGATATTCTAAACCTGCTAACTCTTCATAAATTCAATAACTGATAATAAAATAATAGCTACCATATATTAATGGCCGATTGCATCTATATTTCCATGCCTTGATGACTGCATTTTACATATTGAAGAGACTTAAAGAAGTTTAGTAACTTGCCCACATGACAGAAATGTGCTCCCACTGAGGCTTGCCCATTGTCTGCTTTCACGCCACCACATCTCTCTGAGCGGGAGGTGTCTCTCAGCCTCACTTTCATTGTTGTCTGAGAGGTCTCTTGTGTCTCCAAACTACTTTCACCAACGTCAGGCTATTTGAAATTCGAACAGTACAAAGCAAGTGGTATAAGAATCATTTTACAAAGAGATGAGGAAAACTGAGACACAGAGAATTTAAATGACTTTCCCAAGATCACAAAACTACTGATGGGGCCCAGACTTATTACAAACTCACGCTCACACTTTTGGCCCCTCCCCTTATTTACTTACTTAAATTCGTGCAGCCTTACTGAGGTATAATCAATGAAATTGTAATGTATGTACTTATTTTTTTAAATATTTTATTTATTTATCTTTAGAGGGGAAGGGAAGGAAAGAGGGAGAGAAACATCAATGTATGGTTGCCTTTCGTGGGTCCCCTGCTGGGAACTGGCCTGCAGGGAACCGGTCTGCAGCCCAGGCATGTGCCCTGACTGGGAATTGAACCGCGATTGTTTGGTTCGCAGGCCTGCGCTCAATCCACTGAGCTACACCAGCCAGGGCTGTACTTATTTTTTAATATATTTTATTGATTATGCCATTACAGTTGTCCCACTTCCCCCCTTCATTCCCCTCCACCTTGCACACCCCTCCTCCACCATTCTCCCCCTTTAGTTTATGACCATGTGTCTCAAGTTCTTTAGATTCTATATTTCCCCTACTATTCTTGCCCTCCCCCTATCTATTTTCTACCTACCGTCTATGCTACTTATTTTCTGTACCTTCTCCCCCCTTCTCCTTCTCCCACTCCCATGTTGCTAACCCTCCATGTGATCTTCATTTCTATGGTTCTGCTCCTGATCTAGCTGTCCTCTTAGTTTGCTTTTGTTTAAGGTGTGGTTGTCAATAACTGTGAGTTTGCTGTCCTTTCACTGTTCATCTTTTTTATCTTCTTTTTCTTAGATAAGTCCCTTTAACATTTTATGTAATAAGGGCTTGGTGATGGTGAACTCCTTGAATTTGATCTTATCTGAGAAGCACTTTATCTGCCCTTCCATTCTAAATGAAAGCTTTGCTGAATAGATCAATCTTGGATGTAGGTCTTTGGATTTCATGACTTGGAATACTTCTTTCCAGCCCCTTCTTGCCAGTAAGGTCTCTTTGGAGAAATCCTCTGACATTCTGATGGGAACTCCTTTCGGTTCTAAAATCAACCAGTTCTGTGAGCATCCTGATCACCAGTGTTTTGAACTGTGCATCTGAAAGTTTGGCTATTTCTCAGTCACTTGGAGTTATTGGCTCTGGAGATTTGAGTTCTTCTTGAGCCATAATGATTTGGTCTGTTCGCACCTGTTACATATGAGCAGCAGAGCCCTAGATGTTCACCAGGGCAGGGCAACTCAGTTGCTGGGTTGCAAAGCTGTATGTGGGGGCGGGGTCAAAGAGGGGCAATAGCAGTCCCTTCTGCTGCTTCCTGCTGCTGGGGCCTCTGCGGTCCATCTCACTGCTCGCTCCTTCACCTGGTTTATCTGCGTGCGAATGTGTGACTGCGGTCAGCCTGCTGCCTTGTGACCTCACTGGGTCTGCCTGTCACAACCCCACACCTGGGATCTACCAACCGCCACCCTCGGGCCTGGGTTGGTCTGGCAGAGTTTTCCTGCCTAACCCTGCTCAGACAGTCGCTGGCTCCACCCCTCTTACTGGTCTGGCTAAATGGTTCGTTGTTGTCAGACTTCCGTATAGTTCAATTTTCTGTGTTTTGGTTGCGTTTGTTTTTTTTTTTACTAAAACTTTGTTGTCTTTAAACTTGGTTGGGCAAGGAGGCACAATGTTTCCACCTACGCCTCCGTCTTGACCGGAAGTGTACTTACTTATTTTTAAATAAGTCGATTTCAGGACTTTAAGGTTTATGAAGGAAATGCAAATTGACATGTTAGCACAAATAACTCAGGTATAACTCAGCTGTGTTTTCATTTCACAGTTTGCCTCAAACAAATATTTTTATAGTGAAAAGTCATAATTTTGATATTAAGTGCCACACATTGTGCTTTGAATCATATTTCTTCTGAGGTAATCAAAGTGTGTGAGGATGCCCACTGGGATCCTGCACAAAACATGGAGCGCTTCATTGATTTGCGTGTTGTCCTTGCACGGGAGCCATACAATCTTCTTTGTATCATCCCAATTTTAGTATATGTGCCGCCAAAGTGAACACATGATATATTTAAAGTGTACAAGGTGATGATTTGATATATGTTGTGAAAGGATTTGTACAATTGAGTTCATTAACACATCCATCACCTCAAAAACTCCCTCTTTTTTTTTTTGTGAGAACACAAGTTCTACTTTCTTAGCAAATTTCAATTATGTAATTTGTCTTTAGTCACTGTGTTATACATTAGGTTTTAAGAGTTTATTCATTTTAGCCCTGGCTGGTGTGGCTCAGTGCATTGAGTGCTGGCCTACAAACTAAAGAGTTGCCAGTTTGATTCCCAGTATAGGGTACATGCCTGGGTTGCAGGCCAGGTCCCCAGCAGGGGGTGCACAAGAGGCAACCACACATTGATGTTTCTCTCCCTTTCTCCCTCCCTTCCCTTCTCTAAAAATAAATAAAATTTTTCTTTTTTTTTTTTCAAAAAGAGCTTGTTCATTTTGTAACTGGAAGTTTATATCCTTTACCAACCTCTCCCTGCTCCCCTAATCCTGGCTCCACCATTCTATGCTCTGTTCTATAAGTCTAACTTTTTTTAAGTCACACATATGATGATACCATGTAGCATTTGTCTTTCTCCATCTGAGATACATATATAAGTTTGTCTGGGAAAAGTACAACCACTGTTAATATAACGAGAACTGTTCATGTCACATCAGTGTAACCTGGCAGCCAAGGAGAGTGGACTGGAGTGCACATGTGTGAACAATGATGACGTCACTGTACTAGTCAATGGGGTCAGTACTTTACTGAGTGAGCATGTGTACTATGTGGCCATTGCATTCACAATGACTGAGACAGTAGAGCAATGAATCTGTATCACATTTTGCATTAAGCTTGAACATTCTTCTGCAGAATCTATTAAGATGATTCAGAAGGCCGTGGCCATGGGCAACCAGTGATTGGCCGCTTCATTATGACAAGGCACCCACTCATGCATCACATTGTCTCATGTAGAGTTTTTTTGGCGCCTCACTCAGGTGCCTCAGCCCCACTACACCCAGGTTTCTCGGTCCCACTACAGCCCAGATTTGGTGCCCTGCAACATCTGGCTTTTCCCCAAAACTAAAATCACCTTTGAAAGGGAAGAAATTTCAGACCATCATTGAGATTCAGAAAAATAGGATGGGGCAGCTGATGGCAATTGGGAGAACTGTGTGAAGTCCCAAGGTGCCTACTTTCAAGGGGACTGAGGCACCATTGTCCTATGTACAATGTTTCTTGTATCTTCTTCAATAAAGGTTTCTAGCTTTCATGGTACATGGATGGATACTTTCTGGACAGACCTCACTGTATATCACACCCATTATTATCCACTCACCCAGTGATGGACTCTTTAAACTTTTTCCATACCTTGATGACTGTGCACAATGTTGTAACAAACATGAGAGTATAGATATCTCTTCGAGATCATTTCTTTCCCTTTGGATCAAGCTCACACTTTTGAATAAAACCATACAGAGAAATGGAAGCTGGGCCTGTTCACTACCCACTGTGGCTCCCACAAGGCTGTGAAAAAGCTGGTTCATGGTGGCAGTGGATGGTGTCACTATATAACAACCACTGAGAACAAAACCAGAAGTAGACAGAATGGTATAGACATTCTGAATTCAAGATAGAACACCCACATGAAAAGCTTGGCTTCTTCTCCCAGATCCTTCCCACACAAGATGGACTTCCTCCAGCTTTAGCCAATTCAGCGGCCAGAAATGGCCACTGAACCAGGTTACAAGACTGACTCCATCCAGGAGAGATGACTAGTGAGTGAGGTGTGCATGGCCTTTCTGTGGTCACCGAGTCTCACAAACCAAGCCAAATATTTTGCAGGGGAGTCACATTTTCTGAATAAAGGTATTTTGTAAACTTTTTTTTTTTTATCCTTTTGAGGTCTGTTTTCTAAATTTGGCTTCTACAGTCACTCTCAGGTTTTGTGTGTTTCATTTCTTTTCCTCCAAGGATTTTTCAAACAAGGAACTAAGTAGAAAACAGACATTGAGAATCTGAGAATGTTAGCACTGGGAAGGACTTGCGGCCACATGGTTATGTGGCCCAAAGTCCTCCTTTCACAGAGGAAGATCTAGAGACCATAGAGGTTATCTCATTTGCTCAAGGTCACACAGCCTCCTTAGTGGCAAAAACAGCACTAAAACCCTGATTCTTTGCCTAGTGCTCTTCTGTCCACATTTCAAAATCCTGGCTCCACCCCTACTGGAATGTGGGCTTAGGCAAGTCGCTTCATCTTTATCAGCCTTAGTTTCCTTCCCCAATAAAATTGGGATAATAATAACTCTACCTCTTGGGAGCTTTGTGAGGATTCAGTGAGGTAGTTCATGCAAAATGGTTCACAGTACCTGGCACAGAATGACTGGCTAAGATTGTGGGCAATGAACTCAAACTGCCTACCTCTGAACTTCAGTTCTGCCACATGCTTAACTGACATTTGGTCTAGTTACTTCACTTTTCTGTGCCTTGGTTTTCAATTAAATGGGTAAAATGATAATAGTTCCTACCTCATTAAAATTGTATTATCTTATAAATAAAATAATATATATAGCCCACACAGAGTAATGCTCAACACGTTAGCTATTATTTGTCTGATTAGAATAACCACTTTTCTTTATTTCAGTAGCCATACTTCTCCTCAAACTCAGAAGTTTTAAAACTACCCATTTCCATAGGTTTTGAACACATGCTAAAATTCTTAAGAGTAGAACCTGATGTTCGACTTTATGTTTTTTTAAAAAGTCACATCAATGGTAGTTTCAGCTCCCAATCAAGAGGAGCTGATTCAATCATGTACAGCCTATGTCAGGAGTTCAAGGGCTTCCACTCTCCAGTTTGTTGAAAAGGGTAGCAGCCCCCCTGTCTGAGTTGTTCCATCTGGGATATTAATACTTATTTCTTTGTAAAGTACTTTGAGACCTTTGGATGAAAAGTGCTATGTGAGCACAAATTGCTATCTCTTTTCCAGATACTATGTTTAGATACAAACCCAGAAGCTCCTTAAAAAGACCACAGCAAAGTATAATCTAGATATAGATGTATCTTTCCTGTAGTATCACAAGCAGCTAATATGTTCATTTTTCACATCATTAGTTTTCTTTTACGTGTCATAGCATATGTTTTGGATTGAGAAAAAAATAAGATGTCCTCAAGCTGGATTTTTTGCTGTTTAACATGAAAAGATTTTCCTCCCTCTGTTTTCCTGATTTGTGTGTTTGGAATCATCTCCCGAGGTCAACAGGAACTTTGAGGTTGATTCAACTCTGGGGGCGCAAAGTAGGATGAGAAGAACAAATTATTCTCTTATTCCCAAACCCTCACCTCTCTTCTCTTTCTTTGAGTGCCCAATTCAACCTTGCTTTACAATTTTCTAGATTATGTGCATTTTTTTCATTTACTTCCCAGACACTTCCAAAATCAGCCATAGTCAGAAATTTTAAGACTTTACTTTTTCTGAGTTTTTTTTACAATTCATAAATTTACTTATTCATTCTACCAAGAAGCATTTCTTGAAAACCTACTTTGCATATGACCCAGATGCTAAAGAAATAATTGCTATGGTTCCTGTTAGAACTAAAATCTAGGCAAAATTAGAGGCAGGAGCTATTACCAGTTGAGCAGTGCCTGCCCTGGACCTCCCATCCACCCCCAACACTTTTTCCTTTAATGTCATCCCTCCCATTTGTCTTTCAGGCTCAGTGTTCCACTGTCCGCTCAGCTCTCCCAATTCTGAGGGCAGAGAACATACACTCTGCAAACATTAGGTCCTCAATATTTGCTGAACTTGACAAATTCAATCACACTAAGGGGTTAATATCTATCAGGGCTTACAAACTCCTTAAGTTATGACTTAGTTTCTAAGACATTCCATATTATTCATTCCAAAATGAATTTATTTATTTCAAAAATAGTTTTATTCATTCTTTAAAAATCCATTTGATTAATGTTCATTTTGCAATTTATCACTCAAAACTACAATATTTTTAGTGCCTACTCTGGACCAAGCTTTTTACACCACACACTGAGAATGAAGGTACAAATTAGACACACAAAGTCACACTCTTTTTTTAAAATTGATTTGAGAGAGAGAAAGGAAGCAGGAGAGAGAAACATCGATTTGTTGTCCTACTTATTTATGCATTCATGGGTTGCTTCCTGTCCATACTCTGCCTGGGGAGCAAACCCACAATGTTGGTACATTGACATGACACTATAGCCAACTGAACCCAGCCAGGGCTGATCCCACTCTTGAAGAGGTTATACTCTTAAAGGAACACAGACACACAAAAAGGAAACAAATACATAAAATACTTCAGTAAGATAAAGAAAAGAGGAAGAAGAAAGAGTGTATGTGATTAGATTGAAAGTGAGTAGGACAGAATGGCACTTGCAAGGGTTGTCTCTTTAAAGAGGCAATATTTGAGCTGAGGTCTGAAAGATGAAGAGGAGTTAGCCACACAGAACTCTGGGAGCAGTGCATTTGAGGCACAGGGAAGAATCCCGTACAGAGGGCCTGAGACAGTAACAAACTTGACGTCAAAGTATGGGGGAAAAAAGCCAGAGAGGTTAAAGATTCTTAGAACAGGAGTGGCATGAATGAGGGCAGGGAGATAAGATCAGATTTATGCTGGGCCTTGCTATGGTAGGTTTGGATTGTATTCCAAGTACAATGGGAAGTCATTGGAGAATTTAAGTAAAAGAATGGTATGTTCTAGTTTATATTTAAAAGAGGTCACTCTACTCTGAGGGCCAGGGCCAGACTCCAGTCCACCAATGGTCCCCCTACGGGTTGAGTCCTGTCATGAAGTTTCTGGCCAAGATCGTGGAAGCGGTCTGTTTGAACCCCTTCATGCACGTCAGTTTCACAGTGGCCAAGCTCCCCAAGCCTGCCATGGGCCCACACAAGCTCAATTTTGTCTGTGGCAGGTGGTGGGACCAGCATGTGCTGCAAGCTTCCCCAGGGGAACGTCAGAGAATTCCAGACAGATGGTGTCTCCAAGGAAAACAATGAAATTTACGTAGAGATCACAATCGCCAGAGAGCTGTTATCTGTGTTGAGCAGTAGTCGTATGGTGACCCATGACATCATCATGAAGGTTATTCCTAGGAAACTATGGAAGAATTTACAGGAACCACAGTCCCAGACTCTGATGTTAATAGATATTTGCCAGTCTTGAAGACTATAATGAGCATTGTGGAAAGAATGAAAAACATCAGCTATCATCTTATATTGAAGCAAACCTAATGGAGACTTGAAAATAGAATCTGAAGCAATGTGTGTTACAACTTACTTTAAAGATCTTAGAAGTCCTCCACTAAGTCCCTTGGTACATCCAAAGATAATCCTGTCATTTTAGCCTCTGAAAATGCTTTCAGGACAGAAACCCAGACCAGATGATGGAAGGACACACAGACATTAGGAAGTTTCTGCAGTTTCTTGCTGGACAAGTAAACCCCACACAGGCCGTCTGCAATGTCCTGAGTCACAGGATGGTTCACTTTGATTTGCTCCATGGGGATGTGTCCCTGCAGTATTTCATCCTTGCCTTGTCATAGCGCTGCTCCACTGCACTGGGGCCCAGGGACCTCTGCTGTGACCTGGAAAGGAACCTGGTGATGTGTTCAGTCATTTGTCTGTGTTCTCACAGTAGCACAAATCCTGTACATTTTCCTGATTTTTCTCTCTATAACATTTGAACAAGAAATTGAATTAATGAACCAGTTGGATAAACATGCTCCTTAATATTAAATAAACAACTAAATAAATCACTCTGCAGTACAGAGCAGAATCTATGACGGTGTGAGAGTGGAAGCAAAGATAACAGTTTGGCAGCTATGGCCTGAGTAGTCTGAGTAGAAGTGACAGTGGCTTAGACAGGGGTAGTGGCACTGGAGAGGAGGAAAAATTGATGGAATTCAAAGTATAATTTGAATTCTAATCAAGATTGGATGAAGTAAGGAAGGAAGGTAGAGTGATCAAGTATGACTCAGTTTTTTATTTGAGCAACTGGACAGATGATGCCACCATTGAATGAGATGGGAAACTTAGCAAGCAATATAATGAGTCTAGGGGAAATGGGAAATTCCATTTTTTAAAGGTTTTATTTATTTATTTTTAGAGAGAGGGGAAGAGAAGGAGAAAGAGAGGGAGAAACATCAATGTGTGGTTGCCTCTCCCATCCCCCCTACTGGGAACCCGAAACCAAGGCATGTGCCCTGACTGGGATTCGAACCAGCAACCCTTGGTTCTCGGGCCAGCACTCAACCCATTGAACCACACCAGCCAGGGCGGAAATTCCAATTTGACATGTTAATACTGAGATACCTGTTAGACATTCACATGGTAATTTAAGTTAGCTGGATATATAAGTCTAGACTTCAAAGGAGAGTTCAGAGTTAGAGGTCTAAATTTGGAAGTCAACTTATCGATGTTATCTAGAGCTATGAAACTAGATGATGAAAAGAAAAAGTTAATAATAAAGAAGATCTATAAGAGAATGTACCAATAGAAATACATGTGAGCCACATATGTAATTTTGAATTTTTTATAGCCATGTCAAAAAGGCAAAAAGAAACAGATATAATGAATTTTAATAACCCAATATATGCAAAATATTATTTCAATATATAATCATGTAAAATTATTAGAGATATTTTATATTCTTTTCCATACTAAGTCTTTGAAATTCAGAATGTATTTTAAGCTTACAGCATATCTCATTTTGGACTAGTCACATTTCAAGTGCTCTATAGCCACACACACATGATGTACGTCTAGAACTTAACCCTGAGACAACCCAATATTTAGAAGTTGAATAGAGGAAGAAGAGTCAGGAAAGGAGACTGAGAGAATGGTCTCATGGAAGCCAAGAGAAGAAAGCATTTTCAGAAGAGACTGGTCAACTGTGTCCAAAGTTTATAAGAAGCTGAGTAAGATAGGAAAGAGTGATAGAATTCAGCAACATGTAGGTCACCGATGATCTTGACTAAAGCTGTTCCAGTAGAGTGATGGCTTCCTGGACGGAAGCCAGAGTGGAGTCAGTGTAAGGTAAGGAAGTGGTGACAGCCAGTATAAACAACTGTCCTGAAAGGTTTTGCTGTGCTGACAAGCAGAGAAATGAAGTACTAGTTGGAGGTGAATGTGGAGTCAAGGGAGGGTTTTTACCAAAACTGGAGATGCTAGCGTATGTTTGGATGCTACTGGGAATATTCCAGTGAGATGGAAGAAAGTATTGTAGGAGAAAGGGGATAAATGAAGAGGGAAGCCCTTCAAAAGCCAGGAGAGGGCGGGCACAAGAGCACAGACAGAGGAACTGCTCTTTGGCAGGAAAAATGATTCTTCTATAATAACAAGAAGGAAGACAAAGAATGGGCACAATAACAGAGTAGAGATACAGATTAATTTGTAGGGTAACAGGAATCTTTATTTTAACACAGGGCTGAAGCCATAAGAAAAAAACACACGCATAAAAATAAAAGAAGGCATTGTTAGCTCTAAAAAAGAAATAATAATATCCATAAAAATAACAAATGGTAAAATTTTGATCAATGTATAATACTTTAGGTAAATAATTATTCAGTAACCATGTGAGTTTTTTAAATATATTTTATTGATTATGCCATTACAGTTGTTCTATTCCCCCCTTCATTCCCCACCACCCTGCACACCCCCTCCCCCACCATTCTCCCCCTTTAGTTTATGACCACATGTTTCAAGTTCTTTAGATTCTATATTTCCCCTACTATTCTTGCCCTCCCCCTATCTATTCTCTACCTACCATCTATGCTACTTATTTTCTGTACCTTCTCCCCTCTTCTCATTCTCCCACTCCCCTGTTGCTAACCCTCCATGTGATCTTCATTTCTATGGTTCTGCTCCTGATCTAGTTATCTTCTTAGTTTGCTTTTGTTTTAGGTGTGGTTCTTAATAACTGTGAGTTTGCTGTCCTTTCACTATTCATCTTTTTTATCTTCTTTTTCTTAGGTAAGTCCCTTTAACATTTCATATAATAAGGGCTTGGTGATGATGAACTCCTTGAATTTGATCTTATCTGAGAAGCACTTTATCTGCCCTTCCATTCTAAATGAAAGCTTTGCTGGATAGAGCAATCTTGGGTATAGGTCCTTGCCTTTCATGACTTGGAATACTTCCTTCCAGCCCCTTCTTGCCTGTAAGGTCTCTTTTGAGAAATCTGCTGACAGTCTGATGGGAACTCCTTTGTAGGTGACTGTCCCCTTAGCTCTTGCTGCTTGTAGGATTCTCTCCTTCATTTTAATCTTGGCTAATATAATTATGATGTGCCTTGGTGTGTTTCTTCTTGGGTCCAACTTCTTTGGGACTCTCTGAGCTTCCTGGATTTCCTGGAAGTCTATTTCCTTTGCCAGATTGGGGAAGTTCTCCTTTATTATTTGTTTAAATAAGTTTTCTACTGGTGGCTGTTCCTCTTCCCCTTCTGGTACCCCTAAAATTCAGATGTTAGAGCGTTTAAAGATGTCCTGAAGGTTCCTAAGCCTCTCCTCCTTTTTTTGAATTCTTGTTTCTTCATCCTTTTCTCTTTGGTCCTTTTTTTCCTCCTTCTGGTCCACTCCTTTGATTTGAGTCCCAGTTTCCTTTCCATCACTATTGGTTTCCTGTGTATTTCCCTTCATTTCAATTAGTTTAGCCTTCATTTGTTCCTCTAATTTGTGACTAAAATCAACCAGTTCTGTGAGCATCCTGATCACCAGTGTTTTGAACTGTGCATCTGAAAGTTTGGCTATTTCTTTATCACTTAGATTTATTGGCTCTGGGGCTCTGAGTTGTTCTTGAGCCATGATTTGATCTGTTCATGCCTGTTATGTATGAGGAGTGGAGCCTTAGGTGTTCACCAGGGCGGGGCCACCCAGGTCACTGGTTTGTGATGCTGTATGTAGGGGCGGGGTCAGAGAGGGACAATAGTGGTCCCCTCTGCAGCTTCCCGCCACTGGGGCCTGTGAGGTCCGTCTCATTGCTTGCTCCTTCACCAGTTTATCTGCGAGCAAATGTGTGACTGCAGTCAGCCCTCAGTGGGTCCACCCGCTACTCCACACCTGGGATCTGCCCAGGGCTGCTGGCTCACCTGGGTCGTGCGCCCCAGTCGGTCTGGTAGATCTTTCCTGCCCAACCCCGCTCTGCTGTTGGCTCTGCCCCTCTTACCAGTTTGGCTGAAGGGTTCGTTGTTGTCAGATTTCCATATAGTTCAATTTTCTGTGGTTTAGCTGCGTTTTTGTTGCTAAAACTTTGTTGTTTTTAAACTTGGTTGTGGGAGAAGGCACAGTGCTTCCACCTATACCTCCATCTTGGCAGAAGTCCACCATGTGAGTTTTAATAAAGCGGAAATATCTGCATACAGTACAAAAACAAGATATGTATTAGAAATACAATCCAGAAAAGGAAATAGACTTTTAGGAAGTCCAGGAAGCTCAGAGAGTCCCAAACAAGTTGGATCCAAGGAGGAACATACCAAGGCACATCATAATTACATTAGCCAAGATTAAAATGAAGGAGAGAATCCTAGAAACAGCAAAAGAAAAGGAGACAATTACCTGCAAAGGTGTTCCCATCAGAGACTGTCAACTGATTTCTCAAAAGAGACCTTACAGGCAAGAAGGGGCTGGAAAGAAGTATTCCAAGTCATGAAAGGCAAGGACCTATACCCAAGATTGCTCTATCCAGCAAAGCTATCACTTAGAATAGAAGGGCAGATAAAGTGTTTCTCAGATAAGGTCAAGTTAAAGGAGTTCATCATCACCAAGCTTGTTATATGATATGTTAAAGGGATTTATCTAAGAAAAAGAAGATAAAAAATATGAACAATAAAATGACAGCAAAACCACAATTATTAACAACCACACCTAAAACAAAAACAAAAGCAAACTAAGCAAACAACTAGAACAGGAACAGAACCACAGAAATGGAAATCACGTGGAGGGTTATCAACAAGGGAGTGGAAGGAGGAGAGAGGGGAAAAAGGTCCAGAGAATAAGTATCATAGATGGTAGGTAGAAAATAGACAAGGGGAGGGCAAGAATAGTATGGGAAATATAGAAGCCAAAGAACTTATATGTATGACCCATGGACAAGAACTAAAGTGCGGGGAATGTGTGTGGGAGGATGTGTGCAGGATGGAGGAAAGTGAAGGGGGGGAATGGGACAACTATAATAGCATAATCAATAAAATATATATATTTTTAAAAAGAATAAGAAAAAAAAAAGAAATACAAGCCAGAAAGAAAAAGAAAGGTAGTATGCTATGGAAATGGGAAGGTAGGAAGTGTATTCTTTTCCTTTTCTTTCTTAAAAAATACCAATTCAATTAATATAAGAGAAGTCTATATTTTTTCAGAGTCTGGAATGTCGTTGTCCACCCTCCAAGGTACCCCTTTCTTTGAATCAAGTTACAGAGGAAACCAATTCAGTAATCACAAGATTGCTTGATGGTCAGAGTCTTAGGTCCAAGGGGATGAATAAACTTGAGGTCATTTCATTCAAGCTATAAAAAAGAAAAAGCCTGATGACCTATCTCTGATACATATAATGGGGACACATGTCTGTCACATTCAAAGTCTCTTTCCCCTAAATAGTGTTGGAAACAGAGTGATAAAATCTCTCAATCCAGTTTATGGGACAATGTACCTGAGGCCTATTTAATTTTATACCTATTTGGAAGTGTAGGCCTCTTCCATGCCTTTAATTTAAAGTACTGCTAGAGGGGAAATATATCGAAGCAGTGTCCTACTCAAAACAATTTACTGAAAATAATGTATTAAAGGCACTATTTATAAGGATGTGGGCAAAGTTCAAGGAAACGACAGTATGTACTGGCACCCAGGGACTAACAAGAGTTTGTCAAAACTTCTAGTCCCTAGACACGGAGGGGCAAGGCAAAGAAAGTGTTACAGATCCCAGGGAGTGCTGGAACACCTAGGCTGTCAGACAGCTACTACAAGAATATGGCACCTAAATAGGGAGGAAGGGAGAAGAAATACACCAATCTCTCTTTCTTCCTGCTGGTCTTTCTACCCCTGTGCCAAGCTTCTACTAAACCAATCAGAAGTGAGAGGGTGAGGGAACCAGGGTCACCCTCTGTAGAGGGAAGAGGGGGGTGTAACCCATATAGGCCAGTGTACCAGGGTTCAGAACAGAAAGGATGGAGAGTGAATCTGGAGGGTGGGAATGGGTGAGAGCAGATAAGCAGAGTATAATTAACATGGGAAAATAAGATACCCCTACAAGAAACAATTAGAGAAGCAACTAAATAGGAATATCAATTATGGACAACCTATGGAGCTCTAAACATGTGAAATAGATGAGGGGAGGGAAGAGAGAAAGCGAAATAAAACTAGCTAATTCACACTAAGACTATAGTAACTTTTAGCTTTCATTAGTTTTTCTTACTATGCCAGAAACTTGGAAGAGGAGGTTGATTATTTTGTGTTTTGTTTACTAAAGAAAAGGTTTCATTTCCCTTTCTTATGCACGAGGCAAAAAAAAAATCCTAGAGGTAAAAATATATATTTGTTTAACTTTTTGAGAAAAAGAATACTGTGCTGGTTTTTACATCCTACTGTTCTTGGTCCTAGTATTCCTGTGTCCCCTCTGCCTGTACCATTTCAAAGAGGCCTAGCCACTAGGACATGCTGGCTTACTGAAGCTTCTAGGCTTCTACTACCATATGCACAGTCAAACACAAAAAGCAAGACAGCATTGTGGTTAAGAAGGTAGACTCTAAAGTTGGGTTACATGGACTTAAACGCTTGCTCTACTAGGTCCTAGCTGTACAGCCTTGGGTAAGTTATTCCTCTTGTCCTCCATGTCACAGATAACATGGTGATAATAATAGTACTTATTCCATTGGTCATCTTGTGAGGAGTACGTAAGACACTGTCTGGCACAAAGTAAATGCTTAAGAAGAGTCTTGTTGTCGACTTCCACCAAGATGGAGGCGTAGGTGGAAGCACTGTGCCTCCTCCCACAACCAAGTTTAAAAACAACAAAGTTTTAGCAATAAAACACAGCTAAAACCACAGAAAATTGAACTTCACGGAAGTCTGACATCAATGAACCCTTCAGCCAAACTGGTAAGAGGGGCAGAGCCAGCAGCAGAGCGGGGGTCAGGCAGGAAAGATCCACCGGACCGACCGGGGTGCGAGAGTCAGGCATGCTGGCAGCCATAGGCAGATCCCAGGTGCGGAGAAGCAGGTGGACCCACTGAGGGCGCAAGGCAGTGGACTCACTGAAGGCTGACCACGGTCACACATTTGCTTGCAGATAAACCAGTGAAGGAGGGAGTGGTGAGACAGACCGTGCAGGCCCCAGTGGCAGGAAGCTGCAGAGGGGACCGCCATTGTCCCTCTCTGACCCCGCCCCCACATACAGCGTCACAAACCAGTGACCTGGGTAGCCCCGTCCTGGTGAACAACTACGGCTCTGCTCCTCATAGCTAATAGGCACGAACAGATCAAATCATGGCTCAAGAAGAACTTAGAGCCCCAGAGCTGATAAATCTAAGTGATAAAGAAATAGCCAAATTTTCAGATGTATAGTTCAAAACACTGGTGATCAGGATGCTCACAGAACTGGTTGATTTTAGTCACAAATTAGAGGAACAAATGAAGGCTAAACTAATTGAAATGAAGGGAAATACACAGGAAACCAATAGTGATGGAAAGGAAATTGGGACTCAAATCAAAGGAGTGGACCAGAAAGAGGAAAAAAAATGACCAAACAGAAAAGAATGTAGAAACAAGAATTCAAAAAAAGGAGGAGAGGCTTAGGAACCTTTAGGACATCTTTAAACATTCCAACATCAGAATTATAGGGGTGCCAGAAGGGGAAGAGGAACAGCCACTAGTAGAAAACTTATTTAAACAAATAATAAAGGAGAACTTCCCCAATCTGGCAAAGGAAATAGACTTCCAGGAAATCCAGGAAGCTCAGAGAGTCCCAAAGAAGTTGGACCCAAGAAGGAACACACCAAGGCACATCATCATTACATTAGCCAAGATTAAAATGAAGGAGAGAATCCTAGAAGCAGCAAGAGATAAGGGGACAGTCACCTACAAAGGAGTTCCCATCAGACTGTCAGCAGATTTCTCAAAAGAGACCTTACAGGCAAGAAGGGACTGGAAGGAAGTATTCCAAGTCATGAAATCCAAAGACCTACATCCAAGATTGCTCTACCCAGCAAAGCTTTCATCTAGAATGGAAGGGCAGATAAAGTGCTTCTCAGATAAGGTCAAATTCAAGGAGTTCATCATCACCAAGCCCTTATTATATGAAATGTTAAAGGGACTTACCTAAGAAAAAGAAGATAAAAAAGATGAATAGTGAAAGGACAGCAAACTCAGTTATTAAGAACCACACCTAAAACAAAAGCAAACTAAGAAGATAACTAGATCAGGAGCAGAACCATAGAAATGAAGATCACATGGAGGGTTAGTAACAGGGGAGTGGGAGGAGGAGAAGGGGGGAGAAGGTACAGAAAATAAGTAGCATAGATGGTAGGTAGAAAATAGATAGGGGGGAGTGCAAGAATAGTAGGGGAGATATAGAATCTAAAGAACTTGAAACATGTGGTCATAAACTAAAGGGGGGAACGATGGGGGAGGGGTGTGCAAGGTGGAGGGGAATGAAGGGGGGAATAGAACAACTGTAATGGCATAATCAATAAAATGTATTAAAAAAAAAAAGAAGAGTCTTGTTAGTAAAGCCAATGTTCTGATTCCAAAGTATTCTGCAGCCAACTTGATTTTTCTTTAACAACCTTGTCTTGGTCTCCTCTCTACATCTTCAAATTCTCTCTCTCTCTTTCACATACTCTCAGAGGGAATAGTGAAGTCCTCATTTATACCAAAAGTACGGGGATACTTTTAAATTCATTCATATACTTATATATTAATTATCTATTATGTTTCAGATACCGGACTAGGTTCTGGGTGTAATATGAAAGTGAGAAAAAAAAAAAAAACAATCACAGCCCTTGTCCCTAAGGAGTTTATGATACAATAAGGGATACAAACATTAATCAAATTACTACAGATAAAAGCTATATGATAGGACAATGCCTATTAGTGAATAAGGATATTGAAATTCAGTCTTTTTCAACTCCTAGAGAAAAGGAGGCGAGCAGAATTCTGTGAGCTAAAAGTGAGACATCAGGCTGTGCTGTCCATTATGGAAGCTATACTGAACGTATGTGGCTAAATTTTAATTGTAAGCAATTACAACTAAATAAAATGTAAAATTCTGTACCTCATTTGCACTAGCCACGTTTCAAGTGCTCAGTTATATGTGACTAGAGGCCACTGTATTAAACAGTGAAAATAAGGATGATTTCTATCATTGTAGGGAGCCTTTGGGAGCCTCAAATGTGAGCCTCCAATGGTCTGCAGAACAGAGATTGTGAGTAAAAGTAGGGAAAGTGCTGTAAAATACAGAAGCCATGGCAAAAATAAAGTTTTCCTAATAGGAACTATAATTTTTAGTAGACATAAGGGTACAAGCAAGGTGCAATATTTACAATATCACCTGGACTGGTTCCCCTACTAATAACCACTTCCTCACAAAAATGACATTTTCCACTGGAGCTTTATATTTAGTTTCAGGTATGTTTTAGTTTGCAATTTGGGGATATAAGTCCAGGAGAAAACAAATCCATTAAAATGAATTATAATGCTTATAATTCAACTTTTTTGAAACTGAAAACTATAGATGTATCAGTATGGGCCGTGTAGCTTAAACCAGAAGCTACATTTTTTGTATCTACCAGTATTTTATTTGTATATTTATCTTTCATATTTTACTGACTACAGTTTCTTACTCCTGAACATACCACTTTTTCAGGTTTCCTTTTCTCCATTCTCTCGGGAACACAAAGCTTTGAGTATAATTTCATGCCAACAGTGTTTATATCCCTGGAGTCAGAAGCAAGAGCTCTTCATTGCTCCTGTGTGCAATCATTTTTTCCACGTTCCCTTTTTTTGTGTTTGACAGTGTGTCAGAAAAGTGCCATAACTGGTATGGGAAAGGAATGGGACTTTAAAATGTTGCACTTGCAATAAATCTGTAACATGCACAAGAAAATAAGTGGAATCGTTGATAGGTGGCAGTTTTCTCCCTGGAAAAAGAAATTCAAGTCACCAATGGAGAAATAAAGCTTTGCTTATTTTCTAGGTCTAATAAAAATCACAGCTCTTGCTATGGTTGTTATCATTAAGGATCCATATCATACAGTTTTAATTAGCAAGACAAAATATGGGTACGGTTTCCCAGCTAGAAACTGTATGGGTAAATTGTAAAATGTGGGCCCCAAAGCTGAAACTACTCTAATACAAAATCCCCTCCAAACATCTCACTGTCCAACATGTAAGAAGCTTTTATCCCTTGAGTCCACCATGCTGTGAGGAAGCCCAAGCAACTGTGTGGAAAGGTCCACAAAGAGGAAAGGCAAGGCCCCTGGTTGACAGCCCAGCTGTGTTTCCAGCTAGCAGCCAGCACCATCTACCAGCATTTGGAATGAGGCCATGGTGGGTATTACACCGTTCTAGCACTTCAGCCAACACCATGTGAAGCAGAAGAACCAGAAGATCCAAAGAATGGTGAGAAATAACAAATTGTTATTTTAAGCCACTAAGTTTGGAAGTAGTTTGTTAAGTTGCAATAGAATGGAAAGAGTATCTTAGGCAAGACTATCTAGAGACTACATAGCTTACTTCCTTTATGCACCTTATACATAATATCAGGCATGGATTTTGTTTTGATGAACTCAACTATGCTGTGGTAAAAGAGAAAAAATCGACAGTCATTCCCCATACTTCCCACCCCCACATATACTCACCATCCCATGCCTGTACTCACACTGTGCCTTCTCTCTGTTACGCTGGCAAAACCGTTCCTGTTCCCATCAAAAGTCAACACTTCTGATTGTGTTCCAGATCCCATTCTTCTTCATCTTTTCAAGGACTCGCTGAATTACCTTTTCCTTCTGTTACATCATCAATTCCCCCTGTCTATGGACTCACACCTATCAGGATATAAACATGACTTTATATCACCCATTTTAAAAATTTCTTCATGTCCTGACCACTGTGACTCAGTTGGTTGGGCATCATTTTGCAAAGCCAAGGGTCACCAGTTCCATTCCTAGTCAGAGTACATGCCTGAGTTGTAAGTTTCGTCTCAGTTGGGGCACGTGCGATATGCAACTGATTGGTGTCCTCTCTCACATCGATGTTTCTCTCCCTCTCTGTCTCCCTCCCTTCCCCTCTATCTAAAAATAAATAAATAAACCTAAAAATAAAAACGTCTTCAACCCCATACCCCCTTCACCCTTTGTCCTATTTTCTTATTCCCATCCATAGCATAACTTCCTGAATCAGTTGCCTGTGGTTCCTCTTCTCCACTTTCCTATCTGCTCTTCTCTCAGCCCACTCCCACAGGGTTTCTATCCACACCATTTCATTTAAACTGCTCTAGTCAAGGTCACCAATGACTTCCATGTTGCCAAATTAAACAACCATCCTGTCCTCATCTTCCTACTCAATACATCTCTCAGCAGTATTCAAAACAATTCATTGCTCCTTTTCTTGAAAGATTTTTTTTCTTTTGGTTTCTGCTATACCTCACACTGCTGACACTTACCCTATCTCACTGGTCATTCATTTATTTTATTTTAAAATATTTTATTTCTCTATATTTAGAAAGAGAGAGGAGAGAGGAAGGGTAAGGAGAGTGAGAGAGAGGCATAGATTTGTTGTTCCACTTATTTATGCATTCATTGGTTGCTTCTTGTATGCACCCTGAGAGTAAATCAAACCCACAACGTTGGTGTATTATTGAAACAATGCTCTGACCACCTGAGCTGCTTGGCCAGGGCCCGCTGTCATTCTTTTAGAGTTTCCTCTTCTGGCTCGTCCTCCTCTGACCAGCCTCAAATTGTTGGTATCCCTCAGCATCACCTCTTCTTTTCTCCATCTAGCCTCACTCCCTAAGTAGTCTCATGGCTTTAAATATATTTAAGAGCGACCCTGGCTGGTGTAGTTCAGTGGATTGAGAGCGGGCCTGAGAACCAAAGGATTGCAGTTCGATTCCCAGTCAGGGCACATGCCTGGGTTGCAGGCCCGTTCCCAGCAGGGAATGCACGAGAGGCAACCATCCATTGATATTTCTCTCCCTCTCTCCTTCCCTTCCCCCCTCTAAAGATAAATAAATAAATAATATTAAAAAAAATAAAATAAATGTATTTAAGAGTTAATGACTCCCACATATCTACACCTACCTCCTCTCTGAACTCCAGAATCACATATCCTATTGCTTACCTGACATCTCCACTAGGAAGTCTAACAGGCATCTCAAATTTAACATTCTCAAAATACAGCCCTGATTTCCAATCCCATCTCCAAATTATTCTTCACCATTCTGGTAAATTGCACCATTCCCTAATTAGTTGCTTAAACCAAAATCCTACAAGACATTGAATCTACTCTTTCCCTTACCACCTACATCACATCTAAGTCTTGTCAACCCTACCAGCAAAATATATTACAAATCCTTCCACTTCATCCTCTCTCCACTGCTACCATCTGCTACCATCACTTAGATAAGTCACCATCACCTCTGCCATGGACTACTTTAACCAACTCTTAGGCACCCACATTTTCTACCTTTTTAAAAAGTAGATCACATGTCATCCCCTTGCTCAAAATTCTCCAAGATTTTCTATTGCATTTAGAATAAAATCAAAATTTCTTACCCTGTCCTGTAAGATCTTATATTACCTGGTTTCTGCCTACTTTCCCAGGCCTATCTCCTATCACTTTATTATAGTTTAGCTCAGTTCCAACTGCACATACCTGCTTGCTGTTCTTTAAACACACCAAGCTTGCATTGGCCTCAGGGCCTTTGCATTTATTATACTCAATGGCTGAAATACTTTCCCTCAGGCCTTTGTATGACTGGATCCTTCTTGTCATTTAGGTATCAGTTTGGATGTTACTTCCACAGAGAAATCTTAAATAATTACTTACTTGAGGAATAGCTCCCAATCAATCTCTACCACATTATTTTTATTATAGCAATTCTCACTCAGGGATAGTAGTTTCCTTATTTATTTATTTTCTTGTTTATTGTGTTTCTCCTCACTGGAATGCAAGTTTTATGTGAAAAGAAACTTTGTTGGCTTTAATATTCTTTCCCAGAGGCTAGAAGAGTGGCTGACACATAGTAGGCATTCAACAACATGTACTGCATAAATCAATGATAAATAAGAATAGTAATTATAATAATATTGTTCCTTAACCTTAGTTCTGTTCAAGAACTTTATATGGAAAAAAGGAAAAGAATAAAACTAAATTACCTATAGTCCAACCAATTATTATTAACATTTCAGAGAATTACCCTCTAAGTGTTTTCCTTTCTTTAAATATTAGAGCCTTTTAGAGAAAGATGAAATTAGGCTCATTCTTCACACCATACATAAGAATAAACTCTAAATGAATCAGAGACTTAAATATTTTAAAAAATGATAAGTTCTAGAAGAAAACATGGGTTAATTCCTCTTTAACCTCTGTGTGGAAAAAGGCTTTGTAATTATAATATAAAATACAGAGGCAGGACAAATAAAGTATTAATAAATTTGAATAAGTGTTTTGAATGGCAAAACATAAGCAAAGTCAAAAGCCAAAGGACAAAGTAGGATGTAATATTCACAACATGTATCATAAAGGGTTAATATTTCAAATGTACTTCTTTAAAAACTCCTTAAAGTTAAAAAAAAAAAAGACCAGAAATCCTATGGAAAAACAGGCAAAAGGCATGAACAGACTATTCACAAAGAGATACATAGAGTTTTTAAATATATTAAATGATAGTCAATGTCATTTATAATAAGAGAAATATAAATTATTAAAGCATACTGAGACATTGTTACTCATTCAGTAGTTTGGCAAAAAATTCAAAAGCTTGACAGTACACTCAGTTGGTAAGGGTATAGAAAACAGATACTCATACATTGCTGGAGGGAATATAACAAAACTACATACAAATTTACCCTTTTGTACAGAATCCCACTTGTAGAAATTTATCCTAAAGTTATACCTCCAATAATATAAAAATATACATGAGCAAGATTATGCATTGCACCATTATTTATAATTTCAAAATATTGGAAACTACCTAAATATCTAAGGTGAAGGAAGGCGTTTGAATAAACTGTGGTACATCCATACAGTGGAGTACTATGCAGCTACTGAGGAAGAATGAGGAAGATCTTTATGAACTGATATAAAATAATTTCTAGAGTACACAAAATGAAAAAGCAAAGTGCAAAAGAGTATGTATAGTATTCTGCCCTTTGTGTAAGAAAAAAAGGAAAATAAGAAAATGTGCATTGCCATTGCAAAAAGAAATATAGGAAGGATAAACCAGAAAACAATGAAATGTGTTTTAGAAACATACCATGAACTTGGTTTCTCATACCATTCCCTACTAAAAAGAACCTGAGTTCCATCAAGAAATGGCTGATTCCAGGACTGGGGCAGGTAGGTACAAATGGATCCTGGAACATCTTGTTATGCCAAAAAATACACACTAAAATATGATGGGAACATTTCACAAGGACATGGAGGCCAGCTTGAAGAGGCTTCCCATTGGCCAAATCTGGGACAATTGGAACACCAAACTAAGTAAAAACATGAATTATAAACAATTGGAAAATAGAAAATTTTAAGTCCATATAATTAATAGGTAATCAAGAGAGAAATAGAGAAGGAGAGGGAGGGGGTAGAGGAGGAAAAGAGGAAGAGAGACAGAGAGACAGACAGACAGACAGACATGGGGAAGAAGGGAGGTCTCTTGCTCAGAGCAGAATACTGAGGGCCCAGAGCCAACTTTGCCATTAGATGCAGCATTTAAAGCCCATCATACTTTTAAAGGCTCATAAAAATGTTTTCGTTTTGATTTCTTTTAAAAGAAATCAGAAGAAAAATAATATAATAACAATAAATCCAGCTTAGATCATATTCATCTTTATACCAACACAGTCATAAAATATAATTTAAAATTTTTATGGAGAATGGGAACCACAAAAGCAAAAGAGCCAGGGCTCATGAAAGTCACCATGGGGCCCCAGGAGGGATGGCTGTGGTGTGTTAAAATCATCATTTGAAAGCTTCATTGCAAGAATCATCAATAGATATTAAATCTAAGGGAAATTTTTGGTGAAGAATAAGTTATTTACATGGTCTTAAAGTATCTCTCCCACAGACTTCTTGTTAGTTTCAAGAAAGAGAAAAAAATTATATAGTGGAGAGATTGGGCACCACCTTGACTGAGTGATCAAAACTATCACAGGTGAGGGACATACAAACGTCACATGCCTCCAGATGTAATAGTCTGAGAAGGTCATAACATTGTCTACACAATTTTCCTGCTAAAAGTGGATGAACTCAATATAATCATGAGAAAACAAGCAGAAAATGAAAATGCTCTATTTTTTTTAAAGGTGGTAGTGTACAGGAGTTATTCTTTAAAAATGTCAATGTCAAAAAAGACAAAGAAAGACTAGGAAATGTCCCAGATTTAAGGTGGTTCAAAATACATGACAACTAATTGCAATACCTGAGCTTAAAATGGAACCTGTACTAGAAGAGGAAAACCCTATAAAGGTCATCATTACATTAACTAAAAAACTTGGAGCATGGACAGTAAATTATATAGAAGTATTACACTGATGTAAAAGTATGAAGAAGTCAAGAACTGTGGAGCAAAGCCCTATTTTTCAGAAATACATACTGAAGTATTTAGGTATAAAGAACTGTGATAGTTCGGAAAAAGTGTGTGAATGTGTGCATGTGCATGTAAAGAGAGAAAGAATAAATGATAAAGCAAATGATAACAATAGGTGAATTTTTATAAAGAGTATAGGGATGTTCCTGGTACTTTCTTATGTTTGCAACCTCTCACCTTGGCTGTATTTTTCACATTGTTAATGGTTTCCCATGTTATTACCTAATCTTTTAATCTATC